CTGAAACTGGACAATAATTTGTATGGGTAATTTGGGAGTACTTACTTGAGCTCGGCTGACCGCATGCACACACCTCTATCTTGTTAAAACAATTCTTTCTTTCTAAGTATTTTCAAAATTCTGTTTGTAAAACATTTTTATTTATTAAAATCTTTTATTTCCCTTAGTTTGAGTTCAGATACACCCGAAAGTGTATCCGAATCCCTCAAACCAGGGCTCTGATACCAACTTGAAACGACCCAAAAATACGACCCAAAAATTTTTGTTTTTAATATAATCAAAACTGTCATCAGAGTATCATATAATAAAACCATGCGTGACGTATTCCAAAACATGATAAAATACTGTGCGGAAAGCTGTATCATACTACATCAAATCAAACAACTAAATCAATCCCAGGCTAAAGCTGAGGCGGTGGTGTGTGCGATGCCGTCATCCCGAGCTCTTCCCTTTGCTTGCGGAAGTACCTGAAACCAAAACTGAAACTGTAAGCACGAAGCTTAGTGAGCTCCCCCAAACTACCACATACCATACAATAACATATAAACACATATTGGGCCTTGCCCACTGCATCGGGCCGAAGCCCGGAAACTGCATCGGACCGAAGTCCGGAACTGACTGGGACCTTGTCCCCTGCATCGGACCGAAGTCCGGAACTACTGCATCGGACCGAAGTCCGGAACTGACTGGGACCTTGTCCCCTGCATCGGACCGAAGTCCGGAACTAACTGGGACCTTGTCCCCTGCATCGGACCGAAGTCCGGAACTAACTGCATCGGACCGAAGTCCGGAACTGTCTGACTGAACATGGCATGGCATAACACATCAACTAGCATAACACATATACGACATGCTACATCGGGCCGTGGCCCGGAACACATAATACTTAACACATAAAACATAGCACACAACCCTGTTCGAACCACGAAGGCATCGAACATACTAACTGCTGCATCGGACCTAAATCCGGAAACTACTGCTAACTGAACGGGCCGGCATTGTGGCCTTAGACCCGTTCCTACTGGAAGGAAACTCACCTCGTAAGCTGGCTGCTGAGTGTGTGGCTCGGAAAGCTAACGGCGGCTGCTCCTGAATCTCCTCGGCTACAAGTCCATAAACACACTCAATCAAATACTAAACACTGCGCTTGGGGTAAAATGACTCTTTTACCCTTGGTCAAAGTCAACTCTCTTTTGGGCTGACTCGCCGAGTTGGCCACCCAACTCGTCGAGTCCTACTCTCACTTTTCACTTCTGCTCACTGCTACTCGTCGAGTCTGGCATCGACTCGACGAGTACCCACTTGATCCAAGAACTCAGACAATCTTCATCTGACTCGCCGAGTCGTATGAACAGACTCGACGAGTTGTTCTTGATCCCCAAGAAGATTGCCTTGGACTCGCCGAGTTGATGAACAAACTCGTCGAGTCCCTCCATCACTGAGTCCACTCTCAACTCGCTGAGTCCACTCTCTAACTCACCTCGTACACTCGACACTGATAAAAACTGAAGGACTCGTGACTCGCGACCCGACTCGTCGAGTCGTTCTTCCGACTCGCCGAGTCGCCGCCATGCAACTGATTTCTACTTGATTTTGTTTGAATCCAATGCATACAATCGATAGATCTGAGTCCAATAAGCTGTTTTACCACGTAAAGTTTCCAACTTTACGTGCACAACCTCATGAATAAGGGAAACAAGGCTAAAAGATGCATAAAATGAGTAGATCCATGGCTAATATGCAATGTAACTCCAAAAAGACAGTAGATCTGGGCTCTACAACACCCCAACATTCAGATCCAAAGGTATTTCGACTTATTAAGACATTCATGCAAACATAAGGCTTGGGACAAACATCAAATAGCTCTTAGAAGAGCTCTAATGGAAGTTTAAAGCATATAACAAGAAGGGAACTCCGAAAATACCTCAATAAACTCAGATTTGCCCTTGGATCTTTGCACTACAACTCGTTTCCTTGCTTCTTTCTTCTTCTCCTTCTTCACACCTTCACAAAATGGCACCAAATCACTTATAAGCTCTCAAGGGAGGATTAGGGTTCTCTCACTGTGTTCTCTGGGTGAAAGTGGCGAGAATGAGGCTATAATGTGGTTTAAATAGTGGGCAAACCCGGGGATTTAGGGTTTCACCCAGACGGACGGACTCGCCGAGTCCGGGATATGGACTCGCCGAGTCCCTGGCTCCCGCGTGCACAAAATACGCGACCCAACTCGGCGAGTCAGGCTAGAACTCACCGAGTCCCTCTTGAAAACTTAGACAATTAACAATTAATTAACATACCGGGAACGGGTCGTTACAGCAATTTTACCTTGAGGAAGTCCGAAAACCATTTAAGTGGCACGATTGTTAGAAATTATTGGTTAAAAGTCTTAGGTGGAAAAAATACGAGCGATATTTTATTTTTGGAGTATAACAATCAAAGTGAACGAAAACGGGATCTGGTGGTTAAACAACTTCCTCCGATGTTCGGGTCGGTCTAGATTTAAATCAGGAGGATAAACTGAAGCTGGAAGAAATTTCCCGACCGATAGGTAGGGACAAATCAAATAGGAAAAGAAAAGGGACTTCTTCGGGTGCATCGGATTTCAACATAGACCTTGACGAAATACGGAAAATAACAGCGTCGTTTGATCGAAATAATTTTAATTTCGCTGAACGTTTGACGTTCGACTAAGAAAAACAAGAAGTAAGAAAGAAGGAGCGCTCTGAGAGACAAGAAATGAAAGATATGAAGTTCTTGATAGAAACCACCGATCATCTCTCGGGACCGGCTCTTGAGCTCGTAATGAAGAAGACGAAAAAAATTATGAAAAAATATTTTCTATAGGTTATTGGTTTGTTTGATTTTTGTTTGTGTGTTTTTTTTAATACTCTACTTTTTTAAATCTTAGGTTTATAGTAATTTTTATTTTAATTAATGAAATGTATTTTATTTTTAATTAAATTCTTTGTTTATTATTAATTTAAAAATAATAAATCATAAAAATGAATTAATTATATTAAATAAAAACAAATAGTGAGGAAAGCTTCCCACCCATTCCTAGGTTTTAGGTGAGGAAAAGGAAAGTGAGGGAAAGTGTTATGGCCCAGTGGCGGAATCATAAATTTTTGCAAGGAGTGACACAAAAAAATCCCGATAAAAGATAGTAAAATAAATTTTTTTAATTATGATTTCATTAGAAACTAGGAAAGATTCCCACTTTGCAGGATTAGATACGCGATAGAAATACACAAAAAAGGAACATTTTGTCTTATCTTGTATCACCCGTTTTTGGACCGAAACTTGTATTTCACCATTTGTAAAATTTTTGCACAAAAGAGGAACATTTTGTCTTATCTTGTATCACCCGTTTTTTGACCGAAACTTGTATTTCACCATTTGTAAAAATGTTCATATTATTCATACACATGCAACTATATAAGTACAATTTACAAAACATATGAAAAAAAAAGACTAACAATCCAACCTGTAATGCATGGTAAACAAAATTTATCATTAATAGTCATCCATCACGATTACATCAGTTTGTTCTTTTGCAACCTATACATCACTTTGTTGGATCAAGTACGGACAAATCATGAAAAAATTTCATCCAATATGACAAAATTCAGATCTCACAATTTCGATAACACACCATAACAATCCAAAATTCCTATTTGAAGAATAATAAAGTTAAGTTCCATGGCAAAAAAAAAAAGTAACCAGAACTTTGAAGTCTGTGTTTCTTATGTAGAAGAGGAAATATGGGGTCTGAGAAATCTGAAGATGGAAGGCTTTTTTTAAAAGAGTTTGCATCTGTAGCCTGTAGGCAGAAAAAGATGCAACATTGTAGTTGTTTAACCAACATATGCAGAGCCAATGGATGCAAAATGTAAAGTATCATTCTTCTTACCTATCTAACCAAATACCCAGAATCATAGGTCAGTCATATACTCTATTCCTAGTCCCATCTGTAAACCGATTGATTAAACAGTTAAGTAAATTCAATATTGAGCAAGAGTGTGTGAGACCTACACTTTATACTACAATCAATATTGACATATTTACCCTTAACAATATGACCAAGTGTGCATTAGACCTAGAGTTCTAACAGGACCATCATCCACAAGCATCCAAAAAGAACAACAATAAACATCATAGACATATTTCTAGAAAAAGACTAGATAAAACTTCAAAAATGATCCTTATTGTTTTCAAAAATATCAAGTTTAGTCCCTATGTTCAAAAAACCTTACAGATGGTCCTTATGGTTTCAAAACTTTTAACAAATTGTCATTTTCGCTAACACCGTTAGTTTTTGGACGTTAAGTGAAGGGTATTTATATCTTTTCCTTACCACATGACCCTTTATGAAGTTTTGACTTATTTTAATATATATATATATATATATATATATATATATATAATATAAAGGGGGCCCACCTCTCTCTCTCTCTCTCCCTCTCTCTCTCTCTCTCTCTCTCCTAGAAAACTCAAAAGCTTCAAATGTCTCGTCACCCCTAACCCCCCATTTCTCTCTTTGTTCGTCTCTTCCCTTTCTCTCTTCTTCTCCATTCTTCTTCTTCCTCTAGAAAAAAAATCCCTCCACTTTCCTTTTATCTGATCACGTTTTTTAAAACCATGTCTCCAAAAGTCAAAGAACTTTCTTCAATTGGGAGACTGAGAGCTATTTGTAACCTTCTTTTGACTGTATAAGCATTATCACTTCGATCTAGCTCAAGTACCCGTTACAAGAATACGACCAAGCAGCATTGTTGCAGGTACCGTTTTGTGGGAGCGGGCGGGTCGACTTCGAACCTGTGTTCAAAATGGTTGAAGACATATTAAGTTCAGCAAGAGCGTTACAACTGGTGTTTCTTGATGAATCTTACAAGATGTTGTCAATAGAGGATCACACCGGGAAGGAGATTGAAGAAATGATGAGGTCTCATTTCTGGAACGAATTAGAAGCGGTTCTTTCGTAGGTCCGGTTAATCAAAGGCATGGCTCAAGAGATTGAGAAAGAAAAACCAAGAATCGGTCAATGTTTGCCACTCTGGGAGGAGCTCCGATTGAAAATCAAGGACTGGTGTGCAAAGTTTCATGTCAACGAGAATCATGCAGACAAGGTGTTCGATAAAAGGTTTAAGAGAAACTTCCACCCTGCTTGGGCGACTGCTTTTATCCTTGACCCATTCTATTTGATCCATGACACAACCGGGAAATACTTGCCACCTTTCAAATAATAAGAGAAAGATGTAGACAAACTTATAACAAGGCTCGTTTCATGTGAAGAAGCTCACATTGCATTAATGGAGCTTATGAAATGGAGAACCGAAGGACTTGACCCAGTTTATGCCCAAGCAATCCAGTTGAAACAAAGAGACCCGGTAACTGGTAAGATGAAGATAGCTAACCCACAAAGTAGCAGGTTAGTTTGGTAAACTTATCTCACAGATTTGAAATCCTTTAGGAAAGTTGCAGGTTGATCTTTCTTCATGCAACTTCATGTGAATTCAAATGGAATTCATCTTTTATGTAAATGGGATCAATCAAGAACTGGGATCGAAAAAGCACAGAAATTGATCTTCATTGTTGCACATTCAAAGCTCGATAGACGAGATTTCTCAAATGATGATGAGATTTCTCAAATTGATCTTCATTGCTGAAAATCTCGATCTGATTTGGAATTTGAGTGTCGATTGATACCAAGATTCAAAACCTAGATGAAATCAAGTTTGTTGAAATATGATTTGAAATTTGACTCTTAATCTGATTAGGGAAGATATGTGTTGTGTGTGTGTGAGAGAGAGGGTGGTACCCTTTTAAATTTCATTTTTTTTCTTTATCAAAAAAAAAAATAAAAAACCTCATAAATGGTCCCTGGGTGTTGAAATGACAAAAATGCCCCTAATTTAACGGTAGAAAACTGACGGTGTTAGACGGAAGGACTAAACATGAAAAGTTTTGAAACCACAGGGACCATCTGTGAGGTTTTTTGAACTTAGGGACTAAACTTGATATTTTCGAAAACCACAGGGATCATTTTTGAAGTTTTGTCAAAAGACTAAAATACCCCTCAATCACAAAAGCATGGCTTAAAGTTGTTCTTCCATATGCAAATATGGATTTCAATCCGTTAAAAATGATGAAAGGGGATTTAAAAAAAAATCATTTTAACCAACAATAACAAAACATATTTCTAGAGAATCACGGTGTACCTTGGTGGGCTGGTTTTTTGAACTTAGGGACTAAATTTGATATTTTCGAAAACCACAGGGACCATTTTTGAAGTTTTTTCAAAAGACTAAAATACCCCTCAATCACAAAAGCATGGCTTAAAGTTGTTCTTCCATATGCAAATATGTATTTCAATCCGTTAAAAATGATGAAAGGGGATTTAAAAAAAAATCATTTTAACCAACAATAACAAAACATATTTCTAGAGAATCACGGTGTACCTTGGTGGGCTGATCTTCGCCTCTCTTCTAATTGATATGTCATCCACGAATGGTGATGTGGTGACCCTCAAATTGACATCACCTTCAAATCGTCTAGTATTGTAGGAATCAGAGAGAGGATAGACAGAGCCGCTGACTAAGCGGACACCCTCAAATTACCTGCTGCTTGAAGGAGGTATCTTCGTTGTTGTTGCTTCTTTTTTCCGTCTCCGGTCGGAATCAGTAACGTGAGGCGAGAGGTGATAGGGGGAAACCACAAAAATCGATGGAAAAAACATCATTGGAAGACGGTAGATTCCGTTTATGTCCACAATTACATTCAAAATACATAATTATCAAAGGCTAATTTCAAGATAAAAGAATAGATTGCTTTACCTGTGAAATAGTAGGCTCAGAGAGGAACTTATCGGAATGGAGACCATAGTCTTTGAGAAGGTCCCTAATCTCTTATGTAGAATTGGGTGATTCTGAAATCAAAACACCAGAAAAAAAAAGCAAATTAATTAGTTAAAGGTTAAGAATTTAAGAAACATATTTTGAGAAACTTACTAAGTAAGTTTTGTAACACCCATTAAAATCAAGTCAATTTAAAACTTTTCAAACATCCAAAAACCATTAGTTATTACAAAGTATTTTCAAAATAGTTTAATATAAGAGTAACCCCGAAACCATAAGTCCAAAACATGCGGATGTGTACGGTCACGCCTTCGCCTTGCCAAGTCATCTGAAGCACCTGAAACAATAAACTGAAACCGTAAGCACAAAGCTTAGTGAGTTCCCCCACAATACCCATACCCACAATAATAAACATATAATCATAAACAACATACTATGGATCCAAGCAACCATCAGGTTAGAACCGGCCCACAACCAACAGGTTGGAATGCCAACATACTATGGGTCCAATCATCCTCGAGATGGAATACACCAGGCCCTCAACCAACAGGATGGAATGCCAACACACTATGGGTCCAATCAACCATCAAGTTGGAATACCCTAGGCCCACAACCAACAGGTTGGAATGCCAACATACTATGAGTCAAATTATCCTTGGGATTGAATACTCACGACCCATGTGACATCCCCATTTTTACGGTCAGAAAAGACCGATTTTGTTTATGCTTTATAAAAATCAGAGTATCTCTTTTAATAAAAAAATGTTGTGGAATTTGTTCCCAGAAAAACATGATAATCGCATTATCAGAGCATTTCTAAAGAAATATATTTTTTGTTCACTTTTAAAACATTTGGGATGTCATCATCAATACAGAAACATAAGCATAAATAGAACGTACATTCATTTACAATAATGATCTACATCTCTTTTAAATCTCTCAGTGTAATGTGACTTTATATCAACACCTGTGATATAAATAAACTGAGTGGGTCAGGTTGGGAAACCTGGTGAGTACATAGGGTTTTCAACCCACAATAATATAATTATTATGTTTAAACAATCAAACAATCGACCCAATTACCCATCCCCATTATCTTCTTTATTCTTAAGGATCTACCCTAAGAATCAGCTATTTCTCATTCATTGATTCCTAAGGATCATCCTAAGGAAACAGCATGAAGTCCATTGTTGCCAATGACACATTGGTCAAGCGCAGCTGCTAATATTGTTACTTAGGCGCATCTGCCAGAATTGGGACATTTTCTATGAGGCGCTTCTGCCGGTATTGACCTTTAAACGCTACTGTCATGGTCATAAGGCTCCCTATTAGGCGCAGCTGCCGATACTGTCCTTAGAGCGCAGCTGCTAGGACGTTTACCGTAGATCTAAATCATCTACGTGTTGTGGCACAGCTGCCAGTGCTCATCTATAGGGTACTAGGTCCACTGCTGCCAATGTATACCTATATGGAACTAGGTCCGTACTACTAATGTTCCTCTATTTCATCTTTTATCCCTCATCATTTATCTACCTATGTTTTACCCAACATATTTTGTAGATATAAAATACTTTATACAGTTTACATCATTTAAAACATGTATAAAAATCTTTCACCAGCATAGACAAAAAGTATTCAGACAATATACACACATAACATGTAATTTATATTAAAATTCATATCTATGTGTAAGATGAAAGGGACCATGCACTCACCTGAGAAGATGGTGACTCGACACTTGGACAACACTTCGTTACTCTTAACAAAATTTTCCTTAACAAAAGCTAGTATCAATATGACTAGGGTTTAGTCTGACGTTAACCGCAACTAATTAATAGTCTAGCTATTATTATTATTATATAAGCATTAAATAACACTCAATAAAACTCATAATAATAGCTCAAATAATTATTTTAAGGTCCTAATAATGTTACTATAATTAATTAGAAGCTATATTAAAAATAGCGTAGGCATAGCTCACTTATAGCGGATTTTTTCGCAAAACCGGGATTCACTGGAGTAGCGTTCCCGAGCGGAGAGGCCCTTTTCTCGTAGCCGTCGGGCTCTCCGGGGCTTCCGCCTTGTGCTAGGGAGTTACCCTAGGCTTTGGGGGGTTAGGGAGGCTTATAGAGAGAGGGAGAGAGAGAGAGAGAGAGAGTTTAGACAGTGAAAGAAGTGAGGAAAGGTGTGGGAAATGGAGGAACCCGACACCTCTATTTATAGGCTGAATTCTTGATGGACTCATCGAGTAGGAGGACCTACTTGCCGAGTTGGGGCATGTGGCAGCCTTCTGGTGGTGCCACGTGTCCAATTTTGGTGGTGCCACGTCACCCCCTAACGCGTATCAACCTTCAAACTTATAAAAATCATAACTCTCGCATACGATCTCCGTTTTCGATGTTTTATTTTCAACGCATACGTAAAATCAGTATCTACAACTTTCATTTAGACTCTGTCGGCTAATTCTCGATCGATCTCAAATAACAGTTGGAGGCGTTTAGACTGTTAAATGACCGCGAAGAATTCGTAACTCCTTCATATGGACTCCGTTTTCGTCTATCTTTTTACCGTTGAGTTCCTATTAATGATATATTCAACTCTCATTTAGGTTGCGTAAGCCAAAACCGCTCGAACTAAAATTCGAGTTTTGGGTCGTGCACTGCTAAGCCGAATCTTAGAAAAATCATAACTTCCTCATACGAAGTCAGATTTGGGCGTTCTTTTTTTTGTATGTTCTCGTTTTAACATATAATAAAACTTTTGTTTGATTGCTAAGGCTAAAGTCACTCCATCGTAAATTTACTATTTATGCTTCCCGGTGTCGTGCCGGTTTTGCCGTAAAACTTCGACGGGCCATAACTTCCTCGTTATAACTCAGATTTCGGCGTTCTTTATATGTACGGAAACCTTGAGACATATTCTACAACTTGGTTAAGACTATTTATTATAAATAATATTTTTCCAAAAAGTCATTTTCGATATTTATTTCATCTAAATTGACTAGCCCAAATCTACGAGTGTTACAACGCACAACCAACAGGTTGGAATGCCCACGTCTATTGGCTTTCTCACAAAGCAGATAAGTCTCAACCGCCAAAAAAATATGTGCACACACACACACACACACATATATATATATACTACTAGAAAAACAGCCTTTTACGATGCTCATCGCGCGTCGTAAAAGGCTCAGACGACGTGCAAATGCGCGTCAAGGAAGGCCCTGTCATAAAGAGAGACGACGTGCTTTTGCGCGAAGGCTATAGACGACGCACATTTACGACACTCATTTACGACGCACAATTACAACGCGCGTTTACGACACGCAATGCGTATCAAGGAAGGCCCTATCATAAAGGAAGACAAAACGTTTTCGCGTGTCGTAACCTTACGACGCGCATGTTAAGGACACGCAATGCGTATCAAGAAAGCCCCTGTCAAGAAAGGCCATATCATAAATGAAGATGACACACATTTTTGTGTATCATAATTTTAAATGTTTAAAAAAAATATTATTTATAGATTTACTAATTTTCAAATTAAATAATACATTAAAAATCTCATAATACAAAATAAAATACCATAAATAACAAAGATAATTCATTTCACCAATATGTCAAATACAAATAATTATTCCAAAAGTGAGTAAATGTTATAAAAAAATGAACTCATTTATATATAACTGCATCATCTAGCTTACTATGTACCAACAACTCTCTGTGTTTTTACTTTTGCTTGAGTCTCGTTTCCTCCAAAGCTTCTAGCCATGCCAAAATATGATATCTTGAGTCTCGTTTCAAGAACCAAAATCACCTTCAATCACCCAATTAAACTCTAATGTTGGTAGACTGAGAGTTCCAGAATCAAGTTTACATTAACTTGTGCATTTGTGTAAACATCTTTAGCACAAGAACCAAAAAGAAGGGTGTTTCTTAATTGTTCAACATTACTATGTGCAGGGCACACAGTGCATAGTATTGCAGTTCTTGCATTGCCTCCAAGAGAGTTTTGTAGTATGCATGTTAGCTTCGAGTTAATTGTTAAGGCACATGCCCAATTCCTCCTTTACTGCATCCAAATCATAAAACTTCTCAAACAGACATACAAATTGATTTCTCAAGTTCGAAGCTACTATGCTACACCCTTAGGGGGTAATTGTGTCATTTCTACAAAAAGATTACTTTTCAAACAAACCCTAGATGGCCCATACAGACCACTACATAAGACCGGTGGGACCAACTTTGTTATGGCTTAGGGGGACTTTTGTCATTTTAGGAATTCTAACAAGAAATTGTATTCTTATTCATGTTTTTAAAAGTATTCTTATTCATGTTTTTAAAAGTATTCTTATGCATTTTAATATCGTGTGAATGATTAAGATTAATCTAAATTGTATTCTTATTCATGTTTTTAAAAGTTAGTTGAAGAAAAAAAATATGTACCAGTCGTAAAATTTGATGAGATCTTGAACTCATTTCATTCAATGCAGTCTCCCCAATTTGTCTCTCAGCTATATTTTACATCTTCCATTATATTATCAGACATATTTTTGTGTAATGAGTAAAGAACATGAATGATATTTAGTATTTACCTTATGACACATAGATGAGTTCCTTTAAATGGTTGTAGTCTCTCAAATGAGCTTCTATTAGTTTTTCTACAACTGTCCCTTTCTAAAAGAACAAGCCATAAAGAACTTGAGAACATTTTGGTTAAATGAATTAAGCTGAGAAATGACAATTCTAACCTCTAGGTCATAAACGGCTTTCCTCATGAGGCAAGAAACACGCTGGAATAAAAACATTATATATATATATATATATATATATATATATATATATATATATATATATTAAAATAGAATATTAGTTCTATATTAAAAAAAATATATTTCACGTTCTTAATTTTACAGAAAGAAGAAACTTTTTTGTAACAGCATGCATAAATGAGGTATTTCACTACTCATCCTGCTGATGCTTTCGTCTAGAATCCCATTTACTATGCTTAAAAGCGACTGTGTAGGGGCAATCTGGACAATAAAAGATTCTGAAATTATACAAGTGTAAAATGTGAATATTGATGAATTCACAAGGGACAAAAAGCATTAAGAAAATCACATCCAAACTGTTTCATCTGAATAGTCACCATGTTTTATCTGAAACACTTCATGAAATCTATGTCCATCATGATGCATCATGGCACTCGTAGGCTCTGCAGAAAAGGAAAAGGAAAAGGAAAAGGGTATCATTAGTCTCAATGGACAGTAACTCACTCACTATGTATGGCTAAGGCAGTAACTTTGTGTATCATGAGCTCCATCATAAAATTCCACACATCAAGGCTATATATAATATTATAATTCAATTTCCCTATAACAATAAGCAATTAAATATTATAATCATTATATTACCTGAGTACTTTCACAGGAGTAAAATTAGATTCCCATAAATGGCTCATCACAGCTCCTTTCCATGTTACCTTGGATTTTGTAAGCCATTCTGATTTATGGTCAACTTCTGAGGTAAATCCAACAGGTCCCACCAAAACAAGATGTTGTACATGCTTAGGATGCTTCATTTTGGTAAAAGTGTGAAATCATTAGATTAATGTAATTTAGATTTGAGATATGAAAGTTGTTTTGAAGTTATGATTTAGACAACGAGTCATAGGTCTTTCTTTTATTCCCTTGGCTATTAATCACCAAGAAAAAGGCTATTTATTAGCAACAAAAAGAGCAGATGATTAATCATCTGCTTCCAGAAGAAATCGAAGAATTTCTTGGGAATCCTACAAGATCCGTTCGTTCTTTTTTCTCTGACAGATGGTCAGAATTTCATCTGGGTTCGAATCCTACTGAGAGGTCCACTAGAGATCAGAAATTGTTAATATTTATCATCAGGAGAGTTACCTACAAGGCATATTTAGATACAACATATCCTCCAAAAGAATGCCCAAGAAAAATAAACTTATCAAGGTGTTTAGCTTTTCTCCATTCCTGACGGGAATCAATCAACCAATCCTCAGATTCTGCATTATCATTCAGAGATACAAGTATACAAGCATTAGATACTAAGGTTTTAGGGTTTATGGTTTAGGCTTCACTTATGACCATCATAAGAACATATTGAAGGAGAGTTACCTTTAGGGTTTTAGGGTTTAGGGTTTCTACATTATCATTCAGAGATACAAGGCGATGTGCTTTTCTTGCTGCTTGTTGGTCGCTTTTTACCCTTGCTCGACTGAATAACATGAGGAAAGTTGTAACAGTAAAAAGATATATTAAAAAAGTAAAAACTTCAACTGAAATAAATACATACCTGTTCTTTCTCTGAAATCAACTCACTATTTGTGACATGAGACTTCAACATAAAATCTATCAGCTTTATGACAACATCTTCCTGTTTGCAGAACAGACATAATATTTAATTAAAGTAATTTAAAAAAAAATTGTGAAAGAAAGATATAAAAACTAAACAAACCTTCTTTGCAGAAGTCTTGCCAATTGGCATGTCAAACAGATCACAAAATTCCAAAAGCATCTCTTTATTATACTTATCAAGCTTTTCTTTCACTTTCAGTTTTCGCTTTTCCTGTAACAATAAATATGTTTGATTATTATTTATCATGCTTCATGATATTTTAATCGTATGCTATTTAAGATGATATGATATTTTATAAATGAAATGTATCTTACATCACTCTTTTGCCAGACGAAGCCAGAAAACCGCAATATATTCATCTTGACCTGAATAGCCTGCAATTCAAACAAAGAATCCACTTTTAAATAAAATAAACAGAAATAAAAAAAATAAAAAAAATCAAATTACACATCATACTAAATGTCTATAAATGCAACATATGATGACCGACTTTAACTTATTACATACTTCATTTATCTTATTATAATTTGCACGATATAACTTTATGATTACTTTATATGATTTCATCATTTATAGAGAATTTTTCTTCTGATATACAGTCTTTGTACTTGTCTCAAACTACAGATTGATAATAGTTAAATATTTTGATAATAAAATCTTATTCACCCTCGAATCTTCACATTTACAATTAGGGTCTTTTATTTAGGTACAATGTTGTAATAAGAGGAATTACCTGTTTGCCCTTGTCCCACTTTTCTTTTTGTGGTCTCGTATTTTCTTGTTAGATCAAGAAAATCAGGTTAATTGATATGATTTATATATACAGGAGATGAGTTTTATGACGCCCCAAAAGAATTCCAAGACTACCCTTGTACAAAAGATGATGAAAAAACCTTACAAAGGGAAAATCTTGATAAAAAGGTAGAAACTTTAGAAAATGAAACAAGTAAAGAAATTCATACCCCTCCACCTTATAAGAGAAGAAAACTAACAAATTCAGCAGGAATTGATGTTGAGGTGAATATTTACAGAGACATAAGTAACAGAAGAACCGTAATTACCAAAATGCCCTCGTTAACTGATTGTGATGAAACAGCTGAACCTAGTGAGTCAAGAGACGTGTTGCTTTTATTCAAGTTTAACAACCATGATCTCCCTTTTGAATTAAAGGAAATAATCGTATCAGATTTAAGATTATTGACTCTTCTAGAAGCTGGACTTCTATCTTGGGTAATTTTCTCCCAATCTTACCCTATTTTTTGCCATATTTATCGACCATGGATGTGCCCTTTAGCAAGAGCTCTATATGTCATCATCTCCATTGTTACAGTTGTCATTGGTTTCTATGATCTTTACAAAAATGTCCCTATGCTTAAAGCGTTCACGATTATGTGGGCCACTTTTTAATTGGATTGAAACGTGGGAAATGGTGTCGAGGATTAAGTATTTAGGGACGATGCTTTTTTTGCATAATTCCAAAAAAGCCCTTGTGTGGTTGTACCTAAATAAAAGATGAGAAACACAACATATTGAACTCACCCAAGTTGATCCATTGCAATCACCCAGAAATGTTTTGTGAGAGCATCAAAATTTCTGAAGAAGAAGCCCTAAGCAGCTGCATATCCATGAACCATAACAAGAGTTGGTGAATCCTCCTTGCTGTCGAAGGTGAAAGTGTTGATAAATCTTGGTTCATTGCTGGAAGAACGAAAACTAAGATACATAGAGAGTAGATGCATAGAGTGTGTGCGATTGTTAACAAAATATCAGAATGGGATCGAGAAGCAGAAAAGTACGGGGGGAGGATCTCGCACCTAAGAAATCAAACAAGAATGAGAATAAGGGAGAAGGAACGAAGAATACCTTAGATGCATAGAGAGTAGAAGTGGGGATCATGGAATGAAGAGGAGATCGCGGTCTCCTCCACAGGGATGTGAACGAAACCTAACAAATCAACTCCGAAAATATAGGCATCTTTCACTTCGATCGATTGAAGATAATGAAATCGACTGGAGACATTGAAGCGAACGATTGAAGATAGCTGTAACAATATCAAGAAATATTACCTAAAACTTTGAATCAACAATGCTATGAAGTCGAACCGGAGGGTGAAGAAGGTGCGACTTCATCCAAGTTCTCATCGTCTGAATCAATTAGGGATTTAAATCTGGTTTTTTTTTTTCTATTGGGCATTTTAGGGATGATGTGCTAGGGTTTTTCCAGGATGATGATTTAGGTAGGGTTCAAAATCGAATTGAAATATCGGGGCTTTATATGAATGAATGAAATATGAAACAACGATTTGATTTTCATGTTGAATATTTTGTGAATGAATAAGAAGATAATTATGGTGAAAGAGAAGGGTGGAGAGAAAGGTAGGAGAAAAGTAGCAAGTGTGGATCGATTTCATGAGGGTTGACCCACTCATCATTGTTATCTTCCATCCCTAAAGTCACCGGCGTGGCGTCTTTTTTCTTTGGAGCCACCATCGCTGCCATATTCTTTCCCTTAAGCCACCATCGTTGCGAAGATCAGTGAGATGAGACAACATTTGTTACAACCATGGGAGATCTCTACGAAATCGTAGGTTGGGTTTTAGGTTAGAGAGAGAGAGAGGGGGGGGGGGAAGATGAAGACCCTAGGCTTCTTTCTTGCTAATTGGAAAAGGAGGCGGGGTTTTAATTTTTGAGATTTCATTTCCCGCTTGAAACGCGTGTTTCATTAAAAAAAAATATAAGGCGACACACTTACATGACGCACATCTTATGAAAGGTATCCTCCGTATTCTGTTTTTTTCTTTTTTGACACTAATTTTAGGGCGCGCACAAAAAGCGCGTCCTCTATCCTTCAAATTTTAGAAGAGATGACATTATTTTTGGGGCACACACTTTTGTGTATCATAAATCACCGCGTGTCATTGTTTGCGCGCCATTAAAGGGCTTTTTTCTAGTAGTGATATATATATATATATATATATATATACACACACACACACACACACACACACATAATAGATAATCACATAACAATCTATAGATAACAACTGATCTAACGAATCATACCACATAGTACATAATACCATCCTATCTACCAGGATACCGATCTAACAGATCATACCACATAATGCATAATATTATCCTACCCTCTATGATACCGATCTAACAGATCATACTAGCATCACATAACCAAATAACAATCCAAAGTGCCGACATTGGTGCCTTAGATAGTGAGGATAACTCACCTGGTATTGCTGAAGTCCCGCAGACAAAACTCCAACTGCTGGTTGACAGAATCCCAAGCTGTCAACATCAAACAACACCTAATTAGTAATTGGGTTCCAAGCCCAAGGTCCAACTCACACTCGAAAGGCCTAATAATCAACCAATAGGCTAAGGCCCAACATATGGCCCAAATTTCTTGTAGGACCTGGTTCTTGGTACGTATTTCTTTTTATTTTTATCTAAGTATTTTGCATTTTTGGCCTTGGCCTCGGCGAGTTGAAGGACCAACTCGCCGAGTAGAAGCGGGATGGGATGCAGAATTTAAGCGATGGACTCGATGAGTCGGGTCCCGTACTCGACGAGTAGACCCTATCTAGACAAAAACCCTAATTCGAGGGTTTGCACCCTATTTAAACAATGTTATGTTGGCCACAACATCCCTTATGCTCCCATAACACCTCTCATTGAAACCCTAGCCGTTATTGAAGCAATCTAAGCCTTGTTGGTGGATTTTGGTGCTTGTGGTCTTAAGAAGGAAGGAGAAAAGCTTTAGGAAGCGAGTAGAGACAAAGGGAACCCAAGTTTGTGCACCTTCTATAGTTCATTGAAGGTAAAAAGCTGTAACCTTGCTCTTTCATTTGTTAGATCGATCCCTCTTTGGTGAGATTTAGGGCTTTTATAAGCCATTTTTGATGACTAACAATGATTGCAAACATGGTTGGGGGTCGGGGCTTCTAAATCAAGTCATTAAGGGAGTCACAAGGCAGTTGGGGGCTGCTTTTGCAACCTTGAAGGGTCCCATGCATCTTAAGAGCTTGTTTTATGTCTTTTTGAGCTCAAAGTCCCATGCAAGCACGTAAAGTTTGTAACTTTACGTGCTAGATCGATTGTAGAATCTTGGATCTATCTTTTGATCAAAGTTTGTACATCAGAAATCGAGGATTTAGAGTGTGGACGAGACCCAACGCATTGGACGTTGAGGGTCAAAGAACTTAGTTGAGTGTTAGAAGGTTTGTAGCCGGACAGAAAGAGTGACCCAACGCATTGGACGTCATTTTAGACCTGGAGTTCATGGGACTCAACGAGTGCTAGAACAGACTCGGCGAGTCCAAGGCAATCTCCTTAAGATTGGAGATGAACTCGACGAGTTGTTCATACAACTCAGCGAGTCGAGGATAGGACTTGTTCATCAGATGAAGGTGGACTCGATGAGTGTTCATACAACTCAGCGAGTCGGATGAGGTTCATATGAGAGAGGAACTCGTTGAAGTCGATGTCAAACTCGACGAGTTGAGTCATGGAAAAGGACAAATAAAGGGTTAGGGACTCGATGAGTTGACGGCCCAACTCGGTGAGTCGGGTCAACTTGAAGTTGACTTTGATTGGACTTGGACTAACCCTGTTTAGGGTTGCACGTGTTGTGTGTTGACTTGAAGGTTGTCGTGTAGGGATTGAGGAGTCGAAGGGAGTCGACTTGTGCGCCGAGGATAATTCAAACACTGCACGACATTGAGGTGAGTTACCTTCCAGTAGGGGTGGGTCTAAGGCCACAATACCGACCCACCACATAGGGGTATTTAGATAATGATTGTCTTTGTGATAATTATCTTGTCTGGTTATGTGCTTTGGTCATGAGATTTATCTGTATGATATGTTATGTGTATAATAGGATTAGCTTCCCTGACAATGGTCCTTAGGACCAAAAGATAAGTCAGTACCCGTATATGTCTGACTGCATGCTTATATCTATTGTTGTATGCTAGTAGTAGGGGGTGAAATAGTCCCCAGATACCGGTTGAAAGATACCAATGACGGTTACTGGTTGAAATATACCGATGATGATTACCGGTTGAAAGATATCGATGATCGTTACCGGTTGAAAGATACAAATGAAGGTTACCAGTTGAAAGATACCGACGATATTGTATGGTATGTGGTATGATGGAGGAACTCACTAAGCTTTGTGCTTACAGTTTTGGTTTTGGTTTCAGGTACCTCTTCGTCGAAGGGGAAGGAGCCGGTGGTGTAGCAACGCATCACACACACACACGCATGGTTTCTGCATTGAGTTTCTGGGATTGTAATATGATTTTCATTACTTTTGACGTCATAGTTTGGGACACAACATTATGATTTTGAAATGTGTTGTTTATTTGACCATATTTTGGTAAAATGTTTATTAAATTATTAATTCAAAATGAAATTTTCGGGCTTGAATTTTGGGATGTTACATTTCTAGATTGGGCCCAGATTTGACATCCCCAAAATCACGACTAGAAAAGACCGGTTTAATTTATGCTTTTAAAATAATTTTAGAGTAATCCTTTGATTAAAACAGTTGAGGAATTTGTTCCCAAAACAAAATATGATAAAAATAAGATTTACCAAAGCATTTCTTAAAGAAATGTATTTTTCATTATATTACAATACTTGGGATGTAATGTTCCGATAAACAGACCAAAAGCATAAACATTTCAATACAGAACTTACAACAGTTATTTACAACAATAGGTCTATAATCCAAAATATCCTGACAAATCATCCAACTTATGCTCTGGCGCCACTACTTGTAATACAAAGAAACTGAGTGGGTCAGGCTTGGGATCCTGGTGAGCATATAGGGTTTTCAACCCACAATACATAATTAATTTAATTTCATCAACCAACAATAACCCAATTACCCATTCCCATTATTCTCACTTTATGTCCCCAAAACAACTAACACAAGGGACCTAGTCTTAGAATATTTCATCGGGCGACAACATATGAATTCGGGGGTTTCCCAGCAATATATGTCAAATAAGGCAACCATGAGGGGGATGGAGTACAACGAATGAACACCCAAGTTCATTAACACCTACAGGTGGTGAGCCTACTAGCATTCCACAGGACTGTCTAGAAAAGTTTGTGGTCGTCATCTAAACTCCGCTAGATGACTGAATCAAAAACAACATCGCGGCCTCTCATATGTTTATCACACATCAACTATCTACCCATGTTCTACCCAACATATTAGTAGATAAATATATATTTTTATACATAGTTTAAAACCTGTATAGCATTCTCATTCAATACATATTCCAAACAACAGATGAGACACATACACATAACACGTATTTCATAGAGAATAAATCATATCTATGAGATAGAAGAAAGTGAATATACAGTCACACATATAACAACAAAATATACACATAACACATATTTCGTATAAAATACTTTATAATTATGCATTAGAAGAAAGTGATTACACACTCACTTGATCAGAAGATGATCGGACAGCACTACGGCTTGTAAAAGTAGTATTCTTTGGCAGATTTGGAAGATCTTCACAAAAACCTGGCTCCTCGAGGGCAGAGCTTCAGCTTGGGAATTTTACTTCTTAGTATCTTCGGGACTTCGGGACTTGCTTCGGGTCTCGGGAATGATACTGAGGCTTCGGGATATTTCTTGCACGTAAAACAAGGTAAAAACGCGAGAGAAGGAGAGAAATGAGCAATAGAACTCGGCTGCACTCGACATCTATTTATAAGGGGCTGAAACCCCGAATTACACTGGGTGTAATTAAGTTAGGCTGGGCGTAATGTGGATAAGGTCGCTGACTCCCCCCCCCCCCCCCCCCTTTGGATAATATCGGGTATTTATAATTAAATTTAATATTTTAATTATTTAATAAACTTCAAAATTTCATATCTTCCTCATACGAACTCCATTTTCGACGTTCTTTATATCCACGCATAGGTGAGACTACGCTCTACAACTTTTGTTTAGAGTTCGTCGGTTAATTTTGATTTATTTTTATTATTTATTTTTAGTAGACCGAGACAGGAAAACTCCGTTATAAATTCATAACTTCTTCATCTGACGTCCGTTTTCGCCTGTATTTTTATCGTTTCACTACTATTAACAAGATATTCGATTCTCGTTTAGATTGTTTCGGCTAAAAAGTGCTCGTTCTCAAATCTAGTATTCGGACTGCATACTGCTAAGTCCAAACTTCGGAAAATCATAACTTCCTCATACGAAGTCAGATTTGGACGATCTTTTATGCACGTTCTCGGTTTAACGAACTCTACAACTTTCGTTTAGATCACTAAGGCTAAATATCGCTCTAACGTAAATTTCACTTTTTACGTCATTCAGCGTTGCCGGTTTTGTCGCGAAAATTCGACATATCATAACTTCTTCGTTATAACTCAGATTTTGGCATTCTTTATATCTACGAAATCCTTGTTTTAACCACTACATCTTCATGCAAAGATATCGGGATTATCTCA